CGTTGAGCAATGTAGAAAAAAAATTGTTCATGACTTCTCGTCTCAATTTTTATAAGGAATTTAATTTATTATTAATGAGCTATATTTATTGATAAGTTCTATTTGAGAACTCTTTTTGTCTATAATGCTTAATGAAGCAATAATTACTGCTTTAGTGGTTGCTTTATTTAACACTGTAGAAAAAAATTAATAATACACAGACTGACTTTTTGTCTTGTTAGTATTTTACAAAGAATAATGCTATGTAATTATTGGACAGTATTTAAGTTACATCTGATATAGTTAATCAACATATTATAAGCTTAAATATTTTCAAAAATATTTATATAAATTAAATATAAGGTGTTAAATCCATATTAATATATGGTTAAAAAAAAATATATATATAAATCAAAACTGTGTTTAAAATTATTTTTAAAATAAACATAATTTTACATTTTTAATTATATCGTTTACAACGCTCCGTTTATTTAATTATTTATTTAGTTATTTTCAAATAAATATATACATACCTGTATTTCTGGAAAATTTGCTAACATAAAGAGAACAAAATTTATCGTAGTACTGATTGAGTCACTACCCTACATACATAAAAATTTATTTTAATATACATTTATTATTGTAATTATATTTAAAATTATTAAAATTATATTTATATCGTTGTACATACCGTTATTAACATGGTTATTATGTTATCACAAATTTCCTTTCGCGTAAAATTTTCTTTACTGCATGCATTCATTTGGATATCAAAAAATGTTCTATCTATAATAAGTATATCATACAACAAAAAGTATATATGGATTAAAAAGAAAAAATGAAGAAAAGGTATAAGCAACCTCCATCTTGATCTTGATATATATGTATATATTGCATCTTCAAGATTAAGATCATTGGAAGGTGCTCCCCTTTTCTTTTAGTTTTACCATAAATTGGAAATAAACACAGAAGGAAACTGTTTAGAAGACTATTTCTTAAGAGTAAAACGAGTGAGTATTTTAATGGATGCTTTTCAATTATAATGATACAATCACTATTCTATTCTTTTAACATTCGATAAGTAGCAAAGAGAGAACAAATTTGTGTCGACTTGTGTCACCAAATGGAAAGCATCCAGGAGTACTTCGATTATATTATAACAATTTATTTTGCTGCCATTTTGCATAAACGTTGCGTTTTTATAAAGATCGATTTTCATATAATGATAAACTCACGAGTTCGCTTCTCTTCATTCCTAGTTGTATTCAAATTATTTATTTCATCTTTGTACTGCTGTATCATCTGTATAATAATAGATAGTGTAATAGATGTTAAATAATATAATTTAGAATATTAACAAATATATTATACCTCATCTACAAGAGAATATAACACATTTATTTTCTCTTTTTGTTCGCGTCCCACAGTAGAGAGGTTGAATATAACATCCGAAAAATACATATATGCATTCAGTACTCTATATTGGATAATACGTTTTCCCCTGAAACATTTTTGTTTAAAATCAAAATTTTTCTATAAGAGATATGATTATAAAAGCAAGCACGGACAACTAAAAGAACCAGAAAAGAATAAGAAATAAAACAATTAGAGAAAAATGCGGGATTACAGATATTTGTCAAATTTACTAAAGACCGAAGAAGACAGTGGAATAATCATGTGGAGAGAGCTACGAACACGGTTGTCTTATATCGGTCTCTCATTTGATTACGGAATAAAAGTAAGGGTTGCCGAAGGGTTTTCCATTTTAAGATATTTTTGTTATATTTCACATTTGGTACTATTTAGAATGCAAACGAACGTTGGAAATTGTAGCTTGATGTTCAAGGCATCTAATATTACATGTCAAATCTTTCACTAGTAGCAAATTAATTTGTTCTAAGCTTTTTTGTAACATGCTGTCAAAAGCACGATTCAGTAAACCAGTCGCCTAAATCGTACCTGTAAATTTTATTATGAATATTTTCTTCTAAACTATTGAATTTATGAATGAAAATAATTAAAAACACAAGATTGATAAAAGAATCATGAATTAATACCTACTTTAATTGTAATTGATCAAACAATTGCTGTTTTGCTTACGCAACTCAATGACGGTTTTTTCCTCTACTGCAGATTTTGCTACAAAATAAATTCGATCGTGTTAAAATAAATAATGTTGATTATATATCATGTGATCTAAAGATAAAGATACATTAATTAGTGTTCCTAAATTATACCGTTACGATAAAAGAACTCTTATGCTGGTTAATTAGGTTAGGTACGAATTTGAAAATTTGACAGAGATGATAAAAATATTGATATAATTTCTATAATAATTGTAAATATGTATATACAATGAATATAAAATATGTTATCATAAACTTTCTTTTACGAAAAAATAACGATTTAATTAAAAATTGCATTGTTACATTAAGTATCAGCTATATACTATAAACAGATCAAAAATTTACATCAATCTGATTTTTTAGAATGTTGATAGCATGTACAAAACAAGATGTAACTTGTTCATTTTTTGTCTATCTTACACATTTCTTATTTACTTCATATTTCTGTTACTAAATGTTGCTTCTAATAAATGGAACTATAAAATATTGAAGAAGTATACGCTTTATGAAGCCGGTAAGCTTTTGGCAACTCTCCCCTATTTATCTTAAATACTCATTTCTCGAGTTCTTACGCGGCGCGTTGCATCTTAACATACTCTCGCATATCGCGCGCGTACAGACCCAACAATATTGTTTCTTTTTACACTGTAATTTATTAATTTAT